CCTTACTAGTAGTAACAAGGACGCTACTAGGAACAAGTGCATCGCTTGTTTGTTTATTGATTCGAAGCGCAGACCCAGACTGCAGCCCTTCATCACCATACACTGGTCTGTTCAGTGCGCCGTAACGATGACAGAAGGAAAAAAGCGGAACATGAAATGATCAGTACAGCCGGAAGAGCATGGCTGCTTTCCGACAAGACATGCTCTTCCACTTATATGCAGGTGACACCGAGCCTGTGACTTGCATTGAGTGCCTCTCCGAAGAAAGTAACAAAAACCCTGCATGTTGGATTCACTTGTTTAACATAATCTAAAAACCAACGCGAGGTGTCGACATAGAAAAGCTGGTTAGCATGAGGGCGGGGAAGGAGCCGAGCATTTTTTTGGCAGGCATTTCCGCATTGACTTATAAATGTCTCGACCTGTTAAGCGGTATCAATGTGATTAGCGTCCTTGTTACTACTAGTAAGGCACTTGTTACTAGAAGCGATGCACTTGTTACTAGTAGCGTCCTTGTTACTACTGCATCAACACAAAAGATTCGATTTGAAATCGGAGCATCCGATGCATCTGCCTGGATCAGCTGTCTCACATGCTGCCCCACTCTTCAAATCACACTGGGCTGCATTGTTTCGAAAAAAGTAACCTATTCGGCAACTCACACCTTGCAGGAACAGCACCTGCTGCGTCCCCACCTTCTCCTTGATGTCAATGCCAGATCCTGCTGCTCTATCGTGGTCCTGTCGAGCTTGCAGCCTGATAGGGCCTGACTGAGCCTCACAGAATCAAAGTCTAGGAAAAGAATATTTATGGAAAGAATACAGCAGAGATGGAACAAAAGGTAAGCGTATAAAGCGAATTCAGAAAGTAAAAACCAGCAGCTCGGGGGACATGCACTGGCATATCATGATATCGACATATCGCACGGAATGGGCAAACAGGACATACAACAGCATTTTGCCACACCAAGACTCTGAAGGTAAAAGGCCCCTGTACAGAGGGGCTGGTTTTCTGGTAACACACCCACACCACTTTCCAGATGGTCCATCAGACTCTTGATGCCACGCACTCTCTGATCACCTGCTCTCCTCAGAAGCTCGCCAAGTCTTCAGCAGCTCTTCTGAAGCGGTTTGCCCCAAGCGCACTGCCCAGTACCACAGCGGCTTCCTTCAATGCTTCACGAGTGTCGGCCAACACTAAGGCTAGAAGGGCCATAATCATATCTATAGCGAACAAAGGATTCTACACCTTTCATGCGCCCTAGAAGGCATTCTGGGGGGCCGCAACACCCCTAGGCCCATAGACCTCATCCATTGGAAGTGATCCAGTGCACAAACACGACCAGCCAGAAGGGAACCCAAAAAGAGACAAGGACTTTCTTCTGTTCAGGACTGTGTCAAGATATGTAAATGATTGTAGATGTTTGGCTGTAGGTAGAAATGTCTGGAAGTAGGCAAGTCAGCCCATTTCATCCAACTTACAATTGAAAAGAGCACGTAAAGTTGCAAGTCCAACCTCGAACTAAACAATGAGACAGCATGAGCTAGCACGACTGTCGCAACATCACATAAAGTATAATCCACCTGCAAGTCGGCCGGCATAAAATACAATTTGGATCACGCCCTGTTGCAGTGTAGCACATGCATCACACCTTTCATTCCGCAAAAGCGACTCCCCTTTTGGGATTGGCTCGGCCATGCGTAAAGAGGAGGAGTGATGTGGTTTGCTGCAATGGTTCCTTAGGTAAACCTTAGTAGCAAGGACGCTATTAGGTGGAGGCCATCGCTCCTAGGTTGGAGGCCATTACTACTAGTAGCAAAAAGCTACTAGTAGTCTTCTTGCTACTAGTAGTAATGGCCTCCAACCTACTAGCGATGGCCTCTAACCGATTCCTTACGGTAAACCTTAGCTAAACAAAGTGTTGCCACTCACAGGTTTCCCATGCGAAGGGCTCTGCTGCATTGGCTACTGCAAGCTGTGTTTACTACTAGCATCTATATACTAGCTTCTATATACTAGCTTCCGTGCTCTACGAGCTACCCAGCACATCTCTCCCTCAAAAGGAAACAGAAACTCCTGCAACGTCGCCGAGTGTGACCAAAACCTCAAGACTCGATGCCGACCTAAAGACCCCATTGCTGCATACCAAGCGGCTCTTTCTTTTTCTGCTCGCCGTTCTCTCCAGTTTCACCTCCCGCAAGTTCTTGTTCCAACTTCTTGGCTGCCTGGAACAGGCCACCGGAAAAAAGAAAACAACAACAACAGCAGTTCGGTGGCCTCCCAAGCAATTCGGACCGAACATGCTCATTTGATCTGAAGGATCTTGTTTGGCAAGCACCGTCGCCTCCAAAGCGAGGAGCAGCTGTTGTTCACTGAGCAGGTTGTCTACGTCATAGAGACCGGGCGCAAGCACATCCAACTGGCGACATGCGAACGAAACACAAACTCGGCCCACCCTTCAATGAACGCAATCTGACACAAGTTGACAGGTCATGGAATCATAAATAATGTCACTGGTGCTGGCATTTGGGCTGACAAACTTCAATTTTGCCATGTACAACCTGCACCTCTGCCTTCATATGCACAAAATGTGCCATTTTTGTGTGAGTTGTACTATCAGGGTGGGTAGCGATAAATGGAGCAGGGTGGTGCTTGTGTGACTTCGACTGCAGGGACAGCTGCTTTGGAAAGGGTTAGGCCAGGCTGATCCATATTCATAGACACAGCTTGCACCTCATCGAGGTCCGTAATAAGCCTCATCACCTGGAGGAACTGAAAGTGCTGAATGACGAAAGCAAAACTGAAAGCAAACAGAATTTACTTATATAGTTCTTCAGGCAAAAACCTTACCAAACAAGGTGCCCAATAAAATCTCAGAAGTCCTTGCTCTAAAACTTGAACCTTGCCTTTTTAACCCCACCTGAAGGATGGAACTCTGCGTCATATCTACGGTCAAGAGTCCACGAAGATGGCGAATCTCGTCTTTGCTCAATGGTTCGGCACCTTTCACAGTCCTGCGCGACGGATTAGTCTCAAGCGCAACTGGCAAGCACCGCACACGGGCAGGTGTTACCATCAAGGCGGGCTAGTCAAGACATAAGCACCAAGCAATGGAAAACATGTGCTAACACATGACAACAACCGTGATAAGTTATGTGGCAGCTATGTTAAACACCAAGTGTGTGACTGTCGAAACTCACGGTGAAATGCTTGCACGACGAATAGAATGATTACAGAAAGTGCACGAGAAACAAGAAATTTCTGGAGCCCTTTGAACCCCTTATTCCTCAGCTTGGTAGTTCGCCCTGATGGCACCGTGTGACAAAAATCATGAGAGAATTGACTAGCTTTTGTTTTAAGCTACTAGTAGTAATGCCCTTGTTGCTAGTAGATGGCATCCAACCCAAAAGCAATGCCCTCCAACCTGGTAGCTTCTTACTATATAGGTGACAGGTGGCTAGATATACCTGCGTATGCCCACTGCGTCCTTTGTAGGATCATCTTCAACTGCGGCGTCTTGGCCTTCAAAGTCCGGTGTCCATCTCCACGCTTTGCGATTCGGCTCTCGCAGAGTCGCAGCGTGTGCTCCCAGTGCGTCGCAGAGTCGTCTGGGTGCTTCACTTGAACAAAGACCGTCTCGCCTGCGAACAAAAGATCACCGCCTCCGCCCTACTAGCGATGGCCTGCAGCCTAGCGAAAAACAAAAAACATGAGCACCATGAGCCACCTGGCCATCTCGAACTGGCTACCCGGCCAAGTCGAATTGAGTTGCAAAAGCGATGGCCTCCAACCTACTAGCATTTTCGTTGTCCTTTTTCCATTTTCTCCTCCCACTTGGGGTTCAGCTTCGTCAGAGAAATCCTGGTATGACTCACTACTTATCAGAAGTCGTTGGGATCTGTGTTGCTGTTGATAGCTAGGCAACGAGAACTTCGCTCGAAGTCCTGCCAGTCGAAATGCAAACATGCGCGCCAGGCACGCACGAACGCACCTTAACGAAGAAACGAGCAAATCCCTCTCACTCTTGAGAGGCCAGTAACGGAGAAACAAGCTTAGTGCGTGAACCTAACAGACAAAAACTAGAAAAGCTACTTGGCCAGAGGGAAATGGTGTGGAGAACAGGAACAGTGAAGAACTTTGTGAAGAGATTGCACCATGACGAAAACACAAGAAAAATAACTAAATCATAAATCGGGCGCCCATCAACACAATCGCACCAAATGAAACCCAGAACACATCGGCCGATGCCTGGGCAGCCTTTGTGCATCGCATCCATGATCCTCAAGACTGGTGACGACCAAGAATGCCGTCCTAAACACATTAAATAAGTTACAAGTACTCTTTAGCGATGGCCTCCAACCTAGCAATGGCCTAGAAGATGGATGAGAAAGAATGCTTCCAAATCGGACATAGCATTCACAGCTGCATGTGCCAAGTCTTCCGTGCATACCGATGAGTTTGCTGCTAACAATGTCATGTTAGCCCTCAACCTCGGGTCATATAGTGTTTCCTACTAGTAGCTTATTGTTTCTACTAGTTTCTTGTTACTACTAGTAAGGCACTTGTTACTAGAAGCGATGCACTTGTTCCTAGTAGCGTCTTTGTTCCTAGTAGTAAGGCCAGGAGCCCCTAGGAGCGTCCTTGCTCCTAGGAGCGATGCCAGGAGTCCCTCTTGCCAAGAATCTCCTCTCGATGTTGTTTCATGGTGTTGATCTTGTCCACCAGCAGTGCAGGAACTGTTTCATCCGCCGCGGCCTTTGCAATCCTTGGCTTGGATGAATTTGCACAGCTAGTGTCAACACGACAGGATCTGCCTTGAAGACAACGGTTTGGAACAACATGCAATTGCTCACCACCAGCAAAATGCAGAAAAACCCTAGCAGTTCAATGCAACTTGTACACTTCATTAGAAGCTTGTTTCCTCTCCAACATGCTCCCACCGCTGTCACCACAACTGTCGAAAACCCTCTAAATCCCTGAAGCGGGAGGGCATTCCTGCAGTTCAACTTGACAAACCAAGTTAGATTGAGTGGCACTCAAATGCCAATTGACATTTAAACTATAAGGGTGTAATTCCATATCGTGCGAGCACGAGGATCGCTGCCAGGAAAGCTTTCTTGGCACCTTTGCCAAGGTGGCTGAACTCATCCTGGTTGATCCAGGTTCCTGTTACCGACGCGCCAAGCAAGGACGCTACTAGGGGCTCCTGGCCTTACTACTAGGAACAAGAAGCTACTAGGAGCAAAGGGCATCGCTACTAGGAGCAACAACGCCACTAGGGGCTCCTGGCCGTACTACTAGGAACAAGTAACTACTAGGATCTCCTGGTACCGCTGTTAGGAGCAAGGACGCTACTAGGAATACTAGGAGCAAGGGCGCTAGCAGCTTGACGCGCCAAGCATGGAGATTGACATGCCGCGACAGACATCTGTCACGCTCCGCACGTGTCCTTGCAGCAAATGCCGTAGCATGCGACAAATGGTGCTCTTCCCTGAGCCCATGAGGCCACCAATAATCAGCCGTAGCTGCTTTGGAGGTTCTTCCTCCTTCAAGGCTGGCCATTCGTCAAAAGAGCACCAGCAAGCTGGTGACCGAACAGTGAGAAGCCTGAGGTTGGACCGTCTTTAGTACATTATAGCTGGCAATTCGTTAGTGATTATAGCATGCACAACCAGATTTCCCCGATAAACCAAGCACCGAACCCAATTGTTCTGAAAAGAACGAAATGCGAACGCTCCGCTCGTGTCGAGTCACGCGAGAAATGCGAACGCTGAGAACTCGAACTCCCTATCCCCCGAGGGCCTTCATTGCTCCGAAAGCTGACTGAAGCAAAAGGCGTCCAATCTCCGGCACCTGCTCCTGCCCGTAACGCGCTATCTTCACATCATTCTTCATGAAGACGTCAACGCAAAAAACGAACTCAACAATACAAATGGAAATCCTTTCCTCTCACACACACACATAACCAGGTTGATTGTACCACACGCCGTTGGGAACCAGTTCAGGACCACGATTGGGTGGAGCTAGGAAGGAAATCCAAAGAGCTGATCGCAAAGGTTCAATTGGTAACAGCAAAGGGTGCATATATACATTCATACATACATTACATATATATATACAAACATCTACATACCACACCATACAACAGTCATTCCAAAGCCCAGGTGGCTCTCACCGTCAGAAAGCCTCGGTCACCTGTGTTGGCAAAGGCCGGATGGCTGTACCTGCCACCTGAAGGAGACTATCAAAGAAAGACTCTGAAAGCTCAATGTGACTAGAACTCATCAAATGCTACAGACCATTAAACTGTTTCAATATAGCATTGATGGCATACCATTAAACAAAAATGCGGCCATACCATACCACATGTTGCTTCCAGGGTTCACCAACCAGTGCTTTTCTACTGGAGGGACGGGCGAGGTGGGCCCGCTTTCATTGGGTGAGGTTCCTTAGGGCACGCAACCGGCAGCCTTTTTGTGAAAAGCGAAGCTTAGGGGTCTTTGGCCATAGGATTTTGGAGCAGTTCTGGAGGAGGTTCCAGTTCGAGTGCAAGTTCTGATTCTCATGGCGTGTCATCATGCTGACATGTTCTTATGCCGTCAGGGTACCATGCTCGATGGTGTCCGCTGTCATTCATCACACTAACTTACAAACATCTTGTCATTCTGACGTGCTGTCTTTGCTGACATGCTGAGATGCTGAGGTGTTGCGACATCAACTGGCCTCCAACGTCAGAGCAATGGCCTAGAATACGAACCTAATAGCGATAGCCTCCAACCTAGAAGCAATACATGGTGCTATGTTTGGGTGCTGAAGAATGTTATCCTGCAGGCGTGTAGACATGCGTCACGCGATATGCTGGTACGGTGTCACGCCGGCATGTTCTTGCTCGTTGCGACCGTGTCCTGCTGGCACACGTGCTACCGCCGGCATGTCGCCGTGCTAAAATGATTGCATGGCACATTGCAAAGGCTCACATATCTTAAAACAGTCTTGTTGTTTGGCCAACACATTACTCGTTGGTGAACTTGCGATGCTGCTGTTGCCTAGCTGGTGCATTTGGGATTAGTGACAATATGGATGCGCACAGACGAGAGCTGGAAGGTTGCAAAACGAAGCTTTTGTGCAAGATATCGTCCCAATGTCTCTGGGTTGATGGTTTTCTCGCCCGAGAATCTGAGCAAGTTGAGTTCGGAATCGCTAAACATAGCCTAGACGTGAGCCTATTGCACCTGCCACAACAATTGAGCTCAAAGGCTAAAAGTGCAGCTGCGATAAAACAAAAATCTGCAAGAACATTGATGCACTTCGGAGATTCTAGGGCAACTTTCAGGCAAACAGACACGGAATCCGTCAGTGTTGCGCACTGTCCACTATGGGGAACCAATTATCAAAAGTCCCCATTTTGTCACCATCCTACCAGCCCTCGCCCTTGTTCACCAGCCTGCCATTCTGACGTCAACGGCCGCATCGGATGAGCGTGGCCCAGCGAAATCGGCACAGCAGCGGGCGCTTTGCCCGCCAGCGGCGCCGGCAGCGGCGACGCTGGCGGCGCTGGCGCTTTGGTTGGCGCCGGCTGTTGAGCCATGCTGCCAGCGCGTTGCAAAACAATGCCCGAGACAGTTGCAGTGTTGGCACGCTGCAGGGGCGCAACGGTTTGGGTTAAAGTCCGCGTCAGCTGCACGGGCCCTGTCCTGAGAAACTCAAAACTTCAAAACGCTCGTCTGACCTGAAATCCTCAACCGTGCTTTGTATGTCGTCTTATTATGTCTCTCTCTCCATCGCCATCTGCAAAGTTCAGCTGTACCTCAAGCTAATTAATACAGTGAGTGATGATCCTATGGCCACGACAACAACACAAACTGCCAGTGGTCAACGAGTGGCTGGGCAATGCCCTTGGCCACTGGCCCACTCGCTGTGACCGTGTTGGCCCGCTGCAGGGGGCCACTGACCCTGCGCCCACGGCATGCGTCTAGGTGCAAACATTTCAGCTGAAACTTGTGGGCATGATGACCCTGTGGCACCAACATCAAGACCAACACCACCTGATCACCCCAAATGCTCCATTCAGTGTGCATACTCTGTCCGCACAACAGGCTCGATTGTTCGACATTAACCTCATTGAAATTGGGCCAGGTCTTTCAATTCCAAAGACATCAATCGCTCTGTCAATTTCTAGGTTGGAGGCCATCGCTATTTGGAACAAGAAGCTACTAGGGGCTCCTGGCCTTACTACTAGAAGCAAGGATGCTACTACGGGGCTCCTGGCATCGCTACTAGGAACAAGAAGCTACTAGTAACAAGAAGGCTAGTAGGTAGGAGGCCTGACGTCGCCTACCACAAGTTCGGGCCGCGGGCCTCCATGGACTCACAGGAGCTGCCGGTGCCTCACTCCAAGTACCCAGACGGAGTAGCCCTTGTGCTTGCGGCCCTTGCGGCAGTTGCGGCGCTTGAGGAGCTCGAGGAGCTTGAGGAACCACCTGGGGAAAAACACCTCTTTCGGCCAACACTCTGTTGCTGTCCCTTTCCGCAGGAATGGAGAAGACAAAAGAACAATAGTCTTCCAAGTGACCAAAGGCCGCAATTCCTGCAACGTCGTGGGTGGTACCTGCACTGGCGCCACCGGTTGCGCCGCTTGCGCCCATCCGGAGCTCTCGGCTCGACCTTCGACCACCAGCCGCGCAACACCAGTCGCTGTGGCTCGGGAGGACTCCAGCAGCGTCACGGTACCTCGGTCCGACAGGACTGTCCACCTGGTGGGCTCCAACCGTTGGGGCATGTGAAGCTTTGTCATCGGTGGTGGTGATTCGATGATAGACATGTTAGGGGACTTTTACTCTAAATATTTACGTTCAACAATGATCAAGTCCTCAGCAATTCCATGGGAACAACAGTGCAAACCCTAAACCCCAACCCTACAGCCCTAAACCGATAATCCCTCTTGTTGATTGGTGGGGGGCGAAAGAAAAAGCATACAAAAAAGGAAGGGAGAATCGACACACTAGTTGGTGGAGAAAAAAGACTAGCATTGAATATGTGTGAATCCAACATACACCTGCAGAGGTTCGTGGCTTGACACCATTTGCAAGTAGGACCTTGAAACCATCGTTGACAAATCAGGCTGGTGGATGGAAGAAAAAAGATATAGCGTCAGATAGAGCGAGAGCAGAGTATCGTGGAAGAGGGCTTGCAATCACATTCTTAGCAAAGCCTCCCAAGCATAACCAGCATGCAGCATGATTCTAAGCTTGGATCCTGCAAAGGATGATCTCCAGGCATTTCAGCAAAGGCTTGAGCTACTGGCGATGGCCTCCACCCTAGTAGCGATGGCCTCCAAGAGAGAAGTACAATGAGTTGATCATACATAACATTGTCTTATGAAACCAGCTTGGACAACCGAAGGGCACAACTAGAGGCAAGTGCACGAAAGAAACCCTGGCTCGAACGATCGTATATGGCTTTGAAGGCCAGAAAAGTCTTCAGGATCGCGTGCAAAGTGTCCATACCAAACCTTTCAGAGCAGTGCGCCATCAAAAGAACATGAGCGCCCACCACAGCTGACGATTCTCCCCACTCCCTGAGATGGATCTAGAATCTAGAAACAAGGCTGGCCCCTTACAATCAGGCGTCTAAATCACGTCCGCTATTGGGGGCCAAACGCCAGCAAAGGCCAGCAAGTGTTCATCTTCACGGGGCCGATGAAGGCCCCAGGTGCCCGGTTTGAAGTCTTGCCAAGCTGCAAGGGTGACAAAAGCAGGGGGGCATAGAGGAATCCCTTCTATTTGGGCTTATAAAGCATGGGTTCCCCTAAAAGCGTAGCCGCTGAGCCGAAGCTGCTACGCTTGGTGCGCCTAGTTGGTCAACCGTTCACAAATCTGACGAATACCCGAACACAAATACCAGTCAACATAGGTTCAAATTCTAGCTTGTCTTGAGGGTGTGCACTCCACAGTCACAGAATGCATGCTATTCTGAGCCCTAAGGTACATGATGTCGCGTATTGTTGTCACTTATTATGCATTGCCCAGTCCTCCAGTAACACCAGAGTCTAATGCGAAGCTGCGCGATAGCGCCGGTGCCAAAGGAGGTCGGTCCCATGTCGTAGTCCGCTGGCCCACGAGGCTCATGGCGAGTGAAAAATCTGCACTATGACCCTTAGATGATCGAAGATGACCCTTTTTTCAAGGCCCTCTAAAGACTCAGTGGGATTGATTTATCAGTTTCGTTGGGCCTGAGCTCAAACACCATCGGCTGTGGTGACATCCTGGAAGACTCCCTAGGACCATCCAGTTGGCCTAGTTCGGACTTGATCTGCTTCCAGGACGCCCAAACGAGGCGCCTCTATGGAAGTATATGGAAGTGGTGGAGGGTCACAACTCAAAATGCTCGTGCTACAAGAATCTCACGTTATTCACTTGCAGCTCTGAAGCCATACGAACGAGTTCCTGCTAAAGGAGCCGCAAACGGCTCAGCTGCAACTTGCACGAATCTTGAGCAATCTGATTCCCCCTCACACCACCTGCAAGTGCAGAAACAGCTCCGCGCTGAAACTCCAGTGGGCTACAGAGTATCGTGTAAAGGAGGTTGCGCCTTTCAACCAACGGCGTTGGGGAAAGCTATTTGTGTGAAACGCCCCCAGGCCGCCGGAGCTGAAGTGTGGGGCTCGTGGCAGTGTGGACAGAAGCTACAGCGGGAGGAAGACGCCCTAGTAGCGTCCTTGCTCCTAGTAGCGATGCCAGGAGCCCCGTTCGTAGCGTCCTTGCTCCTAGTAGTACGGCCAGGAGCCCCTAGTAGCGGGGAGGCTGGTACCTTTACAAAGAAGACGTTCTTTAGGCTGGCGAAGGCATGGAAGAGGTAGTTCTCGCTCTTCCAGAAGATCTGCCCGAGGTGTTCGTAGTACATGGACCTTCCAAGGCACATACTGCAACGAAGGCTTTCCGCAACCCACACGCAAAAGAGCGTGTCTTTTGAAGCTTTACACCACTCTTTTCGTTACAAGCCTTTATGATTCATTGACTTGTTTTCTTCAGCTTTCTCTTTTCTTTCTCAGCCACGAATCGTTTCCTTTCGCCTTGAGCCCCTCGGTCTTAGCTTCCACTACCCCCAACTTTCGACACAACCCCCAGGGGCTTAAGAGCAAACTAGATTAGGCCTGTCTTCCTTTTCTTCGTTCTTTTTCTAATAGAACTTAGGCCTCCAAGCTGCTTCCGGCAAGCTCTTCTCGACCCTCATCGGCCTGAGGTGTGGTTTTGGACGCTGGTTCACCTTTCCGAGCGCCGCCATGAGATCGCAAATCTCAGAGGACGTGTTGTAGGCTTCGCCTCAGGCCAAGGCTAAGGTGGCTAAGGTGGCTAAGGTAGCTAAGGTGGCTAAGGTGGAGGAACAACATTTTGTCTGCTCAAAACCAACTTCTGATGACGCGATCCCTGGAGATGTTGACGCGATCTCCCCTCGAGTCTTGCAAGCACTTCAAGCATCGCACGCCAGAGGTCGAGCCTCAGACTTTCGCGACTTCAAGCTGAAAAGAGATGGGCTAAGTTTGACCATCGGGACACAAAAGGACACAAGCGCCAACGAGGTGAGGTGGCTAAGTTTCACCATCTGGGAAGCAAGCTCCGTAGCCACTTGCATTTGGCGACACCGCCTGGGAGATGGAAGTCAGTTTCCTCGTCTAGATTCTAGATATAAAATGAATGTAATAAGAGAAAGTCTAAGAGATGAAGAGAAGAACCTTGGGCACGGATGCTTGATTCTAAATAAATACTAAAAACTTAATAATAGCTTCTACTAGCTTCTTGTTACTACTAGTAAGGCACTTGTTACTAGTAGCGATGCACTTGTTCCTAGTAGCGTGGCACTTGTTAGACCAATAAAGAAAGTCTAAGAGATGAGAAGAGAATGGTTGCACTCTTTAGTTAGGACCCTCTAGAGGGAACAGGAGTTATTTGTTCAGAGAGATGGTGGCGGCGGAAAGGGCTAACCAATCCTGCCAAGCTCGCCCTCAGTCTAGGGACTAGAACGCTTTCCTTGTTTTGGAGCGGCTTTCTTGGAGGCAGTGGGAGTTATGACTTGCTTCCACTGCCAGAGGTTTTGGGTGAAGCGGGATCCAGCCTCAGAGCCATAAGCTGCCAATGCTGCATAAAACGGCTGAGAGTTGTTTGAAAACACGTGCTGCCTATGCTTCTGTTCTCAAGTCTAGTAAGGCTGTGTCTAGTTTAGCCAAGACCGGATTCGCCAAGACGTTGGCATGTTCGCACCCTGAGCTTCCCGAGCGTCTCCAGGGTCTTCGTGATCGTTTCCACATTGTTGGGCTGTACCTGATGATCTCTTTGGTGTCTTTCACTAAGTCTCTATAGTTTGCTTTTCGGTTGGAGGCCATGGGCCATTTCTATTAGAACCAAGAAGAGGAAGAAAGGTCTAATATAGTTTGCTTTGAAGTTCTACAGCTGTCCAAAGACCTGCGGGAAAAAGAGTAGGTCTCGAATGACAGTTTCGCGGTTGTGTGATCCGTCAGGGCGGTACATAGTACATTCCTTCTGTGAATATAAAGTGACAACAAGAAGCGCAGCAGGGGCACCGGGTTCTGACCACTGGGGCCAGTTCGCTTGGATAGATCCTGCACAGCTGTCTTCGGTTCTTTGCTTCCTTTCTTCGGTCTGGCACAAGGCGCCTGAAAGTTCTTCCGGAGGATGTCGCAAAGGCGCTTGAACCTGAGCAAACCGAACCACCGAACTAGGCTGGACCACATCATATGCACAGAAATTCAAACACTGAACTTGTTTCTACTAGCTTCTTGTTACTACTAGTAAGGCACCTGTTACTACTAGCGTGGCACTTGTTACTACTAGGCTGGAACCAAACTAGGAAAGGAAGAATGAGAATCTGACCGACCGACGGCACGAAAAAGACCGATTGAACATGCCGAAAGCGGCATGTCCAGTCAAACTTGGAACACTTCAGCCCCAAAGAGGAGAAGCTTCCGCGGTTGCCATCCCTGTGACAAGCCATGCCGCAAAAAAGTCTGCTGGATCCAGCTAGTGTCAGGGAATGCAGCCGGCACGTCGTCCATCTAATATTCAACGCATGTGTGGGAGTGTGGTTGGTTGTAAAGGATGATTGCGGACAGCATTTTACTTTGAAGTTTCTGGAGGACTTGCTGCAAGGACTCAAGAAACATGCTACTAGTAGCTTCTTGCTACTAGTAGTAATGCCCTTTGCTCCTAGTAGCGTTCTTGTTCCTAGTAGTAATGCCAGGAGCTACTAGTAGCGATGCACCTCGTTACCAGTTGCATGTCCAGGATCTGAGTTGACGGCTCTTGAGGTCTCGTATTTGCACGGCAGAATTCAAAGGCTTGACGAGAAGTCTCGTGGTAGACCTGGTGCTGCCCAACCACCAAGGTGAAAAGGTGAAACCCTGAGCTCTTCTGCAGCCAAAACCACTTCAACACGCATGAAAAAGGTACCGAACGCATCGAGGCCGCGAACACCCAACTGTGCCCATGCACATCTTGATGTTGGTCCTTTTAGGTTGGAGGCCATCGCTATTAGTAACAAGAAGCTATTATGGACTCCTGGCATCGCTACTAGGTTCCTTTTGCTTCTAGGTTGGAGGCCATTATTGCAATGGGCGCACGCAGTAGCGTCACTTCCAGCCTCTTCCAGCCGACTGTTCGACTTAAGCACGTCCAGAATGACCTTTCATCATTGCGAAGGAACATTGGATCCCAAAAGACACCAAACAAACAGCCTTCTCGGGGTCTGTTGTTTTCTATATGGTTTGCCATCTTCGCTACGGTTGGCTCACATGCCCATGGCAAAACAAAAACTTACCCAAACAAAAACACCCGACCTAGGTGCCTTCTGAAGGGTATCTCGATTTTCGTGTAAACTTGATCTTGTCACAGGGGTTATTTTTGCTCTACTCATTGTGCCTTGTGATTGCTGTCTGTTTGGCTTCTCCCTGGCCTTGATGTTGTCATTCTTGCCTGCCATTATGGCTTGCCATTTCTCCTGTCCTTATCTGCCGCATTGTTGTTGGTCACTGCAGCCCGACGCGGTTGCGTTTGGACCGCCCCCACAAAGAACAATTGACAAGCACCTGCCGTTGTGCGTATCATTTGCACATGATTATGCATGGTCACTGTCTTGTTCTGGCAGCTTGTCAGTGAACTTGTGGTTTTGCTGTCTGTTACGTCATTGTGACTATAATCATGCCAAAACGTAACGAATGTCATGCAGTCTAGAATGTCGGGTTTGAAGCTTCAGGTAGCTCCTCCTGTGAAGTGGCTCAGTTGTTTGAAAAAACCCACAGGAGGAGCTCAATTCTTGGGAGAGGCCTGTAAGAGACTGCCTACTTCGCTCCGTCCCTCGCCTTGTAGGTCTCCCACAAGAAGCGAAAGTGCGTGTGCACATCCTTGTCCTGTGCAACTTCGCACGGACCCACATTCGATTAAAGCATGTGGAAGAACGGCGCAAGGTTGACTGTTTGAAGGCAACTGCGTACCTCACTTGACAGCAATAAGTTAGTTGTTGTTATATAAGCCTGTTCTATTGGTTTATTGGGTTTACGATGTTTCAGTTGGCGAAGGTCAGGTAAGCTGGGCATGGAAAAGCTGGTAGAGACTGCGTTGGGCCACTCCCCATCGTCTCAATGCACGTGATTCATTGCTAAAACTCACTGACCTCCTTTCGTCGGAGATTTCACACATCTGTTTAGCATCCGACGGCTGCCGTGCCTTCTTGCCACATCACTGTACAGATTGATTGACATTCTATAGGAACGACATTGGAGACAATAGTTTTTTGCAGATTGGGCCTTTCAAAAGCAGGTTTGTTGGAGGCCATCGCTATTAGGTTGGAGGCCATCGTTAGTAGGTTGGAGGCCATCACTAGTAGGTTGTGCCTTCCAAGAACCGTGTTTCCAGATCAAGTCTTGTCTTGCACTGTTTGCCCCTCATACGATCCTATGTACCCGCATGCCACGCGTCGTTGAATTGAGCCTCTTTCTACGACATCCAGGGCATTACTTGTGAACAGTCCTCGCTTTTCTGGCCTACCATCATTGGATACATGCTTTATTGCAAGCCCGAATGGGGTACACAAGTGTGGTTTCGTGCCCAATCCCCACTGAATAGAATCAAACAACGCTAAGTGCATCTGAGTGCTAGTGGGTGGTGGATGACAAGCTCACAGGAAGAGCCAAACGTTTGGCTTCCCGCTGCTCCGCTCAAAACTGCACTCCGATTCCTTCACGAAACTTGTGGAGTCCTGGCTTTGCTGGCGCGTGTCGCCAGCTTGGATTGCTGCAAGGAGGATTGTTTCCGGCCTCACTCACGATTTGAAAGTGCCAATGAGTGGTGAGCCGAACCCAATGCGGTGACAAAATCTTGAGGAGATGCCGCAAAACAAAGCATCCAACTCGACCAAGACCACCCCTAAGCCCTAAGCACACGCAAAACAAAGCTCGGAGATCCAAGTCACGCATCCAACTCTTCCAAGTCTGCAACCTTGCCCAGCCTCACATCCTGAAGAAACCCAGTCATGAGTCTCCGCTACCTTTCCGGTAACAACGTGAAGCAATGAAACTAGAGTAGCTGGAAAAGAAAAAGGTTGACAACCTGCAAGAGAGAGGGTTGGAGGCCATCGCTATTAGGTTGAAGACCGTTGCTATTAGGATGGAGTACTAGAGCAGTTGGAGATTTCAGGAGCTAGAAGAAAAAGGTTGACAAGCGCCCCGACATTCAGCACCATTGAACCGAACAGTCTCTAAGCGTAACAAAAAATCGTGGGAGTTCTCACTCACATGCAAACACTTCGAAGCAGGTTTGACTTCATAATTTTACAGCTTGCTACATCCATCACGGACATCGAATCACACATCTATATAAATATATTCTGTATGCGCGGCGACACTTCCCATCCCATCAATCTGCCCACATGACCTGCTCCTTCTTTGCTTGGTTCACCTGAAGGCACAACAAACAGGTCGATACAGTCGGCTGAAGGCATCGGCTGAATCGGCAGCGGTCGCCTTCTCTTCAGCCGCCTTGCGGAAGACCCGAACGACCTGGCACATGAAGAACTTGCTTAAGACCGCCTGGTCGTCACCAGAAACCCTGTGTAGGGTAAGCAAACCATGTGGCCCACGGAAGCTTGGAAAGGGCCAAGCAAGCTTTTGAATTGCCCAATGGCAATGGCCTCCAACCTACTAGCTATTTGCTCCTAGTAGTAATGCCCTAGCTACTAGTAGCTTCTTTGTTACTACTAGTAAGGCACTTGTTACTAGAAGCGATGCACTTGTTCCTAGTAGCTATTTGCTCCTACTAGTAAGGCACCTTTTACTACTAGAAACGTCCAAAACGAAAGAAGCGGCCAAAAGACTGGAACCGACCTGCTCCAAGGACTGGATATTCGCAGCTTGGCAGGTGGCCCTGTACTGATGAAGGCCTAGGACCGAGCAACGCCAACGGTGCGGATGAGTGACGTGAATCGTGGGGACGTGCTTCACTGCATCCTACACCCAGCCCTCGTGTTACACAAGGATGAATTTGTTCCATTCTGCGGAAGGGACTTCAAGCTGCATGCATGCGACGCAAGTTTCTTCCGCGCCTTCCCGAGCAAAGCGCATCTTCTGAAGTTCTACACCTCACCGTCATCACTCAGCTCGCAGCAAGTTCAGCTCACAGCAAGTGGTCGTGCTCACGGAAAGCAACCACTCCACCCTTTTCATGATTACTTATTGTGAGCACGCTGCATGCTGCCCATCTGTATGTCTCTGTATGTCCGAAAAAATCTAGATCATGAACACCAAACATATACCTCAATGATGTGACGTCAGAACAGCAAGGAATGTGCGAATCACTGGCAGCAAAACCAGAAAACAAAAATATAGTCTAAACATGTAACAAACAAGCAAAAACAATTGCACTAAATGCAGCTGTTATTTTTTGGTGTTTGTTGCTGCGGTTTGCTTTCTCTTCTATGTAGCCGAAAAAAAGACGGTATTCAATAACAGTTCTGAACAAGTTTGTGGAGAAAAGAACAGCAAAAATCAATAGGCAAAAATACACACATACAAAGGAAACAACTTTCTTGACTTCCGCCCAAATTTCCTCAGAACAGTCAGTTGTTTTGTGTTTTGCTGTTTTTATTTTGTGGTTGTTTGGTATTATGTTTTTGTTTGTTGCATTGTGCAATTGAAAAAGCATAAACAACAAAAGGGTTATCCTTCACTGCGAGAGCTGTGGTGTGACATGATGAGCCGCTACGTATATTGCGTTGTGCAAAAGATGTCAGTCCTTGTTACTAGTAGCTTCTTGTTACGTTCGTAGGCCTCCAGCCTAATAGCGATGGCCTCCACCGTGCGTAGCGTCCTTGTCACTAGGTGCAATAGATGCAGGTATAGAATGTGCTGAACACTCACCTGGTCTCCTTTACTCCTTCCCAGCGGGTATGTGCTATTGCCAGCTAGTGAAAGTGGATCTGTTGCTATCAACACTAGGGCAGGACACCCCGTTTTCAGAAAGCAAGGCATCACACAAAATGATTTCCAGCACTTGAATTCTGAGGGTGTAGCAAAGCTGAAGATGGCGCTCAATGATCTTTTCCAACGTGGGAGACCTGTCAAAAAGCTGTGCGTTCTAGACGTTGTGAGTTTGGTCTGGCAAAGAGTCATAGAGTGGAGAAAGTTTGAGAAAGAAAGAAAGAACAAACACAAGAAACGATAAAACAAAACAGGAGGAGGAGTTGCCTCGTTGAAATACAGTGGAAGAAAGGGAAAGAGTTGTATATAGAGGGTAGAAATAAGTATAGTCTAGTCTAGTCACGTCCGCCCCCTTTCAATCGAGCTGTCAAAACAAATGGTACAATGAGAAGAAGACCGCCCTCAAAACTGCGAGTCTTCCAGCCCCTTAGAGTCTAGGAACCTCTAGGAACCCCGACCATTGATTCTTCCACCTCTTGTGCAAAATTGCGTGATGGAGCGTCTCCAACGCCTCATTCTGCTTTCCAACCTCACACGTGATGTTTTCTCAAACACCAGACATAAACTCTTCAATGGAGCCCTGTTCGCACACATCCCAAGTCTGTACCCTGTGCACATGGTCTCACAGTGACGATGGAAATCTGCAACAAAAGGCCTCTTAGAGAAGAGTATGGACAAGTAAACCTCGCGCAGCTTCACAAGACGAACCGGCTTTTCGCTGGTGCTTCGCGCGCCTCCCTTTTTGACGCGCTCCCTATACACGGGCTCCGGAGGCTCCGGAGGCTCCGGATCTCACATCGGCGGTGGACCCCATCCGGGTGGAGGACCCCAAGGTGGTGGCGCACCCCATGGATCAGGTGGCCAACCCGGCACACCCCACCCTGGGGGTGGAGGCCATGGGTCCAACTCCTTCTGTCTAATGCCGCCTTTCCTCGGGTCGAAAGCGAGCGATATCAAAGTATCTGTGTGCTTTCTCCTTCAAGTTCTCAAGCATGAATGATTGGAATACCTCCAATCCTGCTCCAATGCATAGTTTAAACTTGATGGATCTTTGTACGCATTTGCCAAGCAACTCTTTAAGGGTTTGGATGATGTTTTCATGGATGTCATACATTCTCCGCTCCAATGATTCCTTCAACTTGGGCACCACATGGTCATCGGCCTGCGCAGTGCACGGAATGCATTGAAGTGCGTTCGCATCATCTTATATGTATCAGTGACTTTTTCACTGCCAATGCTATGCCAATTCGCCAATGATCCCAAAAATGGCTGAAACGGCTGCAATGGCGGGCAATCTAGGGTTGCAATGGAATTGGAAAGTACCTCACCGGATGGTCAACAGGGAGGCCAGCGACGACCAAATCGCGAGCCGAGCGGCCTCAGCGATAAAGTGTACCCGCTGAGAGCTGGAGAACTTGTAGTCGGAATGTCCCAAGTCTTCCCCACGGAGGTGGATCCAAACCTGCAGTTGAACGGAGCGGACGCTACTAGGAGCAAAGGGCATCGCTGCTAGTAGCGTCATGTATGAGTCAAGTCGAAAGAATCCGTACTTGACCAACATCATATGACAACAAGCTCTCCCCTACCCGTCCCTGCCCTGGCAGTTGACTTCATGCAACTCCTTGACCAGCCAGAAAGTTCAAAAGCAAAAGGCATTATATACTTTGAACTTCAGTTGACACTTGTCTTCAGTTTGACACTTCACTCACCTGGATCACTGAACCAATGAAAAGAATACCAGGAGTTACAGTACTAGTAACTAGTAGCTTCTTGCTGCTAGTAGCGATGCCCTTTTGTTACAAGTAGCTTCTTGCTCCTAGTGGTAATGCAGCTTCTAGCAGCTTTCTGCCCCAGAGAACAATCGTGTTGAAAGGGGCAACTCCAGTAAACAGCTTCAGCGGCTAACGTTCTGGTTCCACAGGGCATTCCTCCTCAAGAATGCAAAAAACATAACCCTTGTACATACTTGCGTCCTTCCGGCATGGATCTGGGACATGCTTGTGAAATGCTTTTTGTTAGAAAAACAAACGCGTCGAACGCATCATCTTCTTTCAAAGAAGCAGCACCACTCTCTTCTTGCAGCTTCTTGATCCCATCGCCACGCGACCCAACCAGTCGAGCGATGATGCTGTCGGGGTAGGTGGCGATCGTCCCATCATTCTTCTTGGATCTCTGAGACGACAAGACGCGCTCGGACTCCGACCAAACGCCAAAGCCGGCCTGGCAAGGTCGGCAAGAAAGGAGAAAGTCCAAGGATGCGCTTTTTGTTCCTAGTAGCGTCCTTGCTCCTAGTAGTACGGCCAGGAGCCCCTAGCAGCATTCTTGCTCCTAGTAGCGATGCCAGGAGCCCCTAGTAGCTTCTTGTTTTGAAAAAAGGATATTCTTAGAAAGACCCAGATAGGATTGTTTAATATTTTTGCCACTGGGGGCTGGGAGGTGTAGGCTTAAGAGCCCACTAAGCTCAAGTAGCTATGTACTAGTATCTTGGACCCAGAAGGACTCAGGCTCCATGCTTCATTTCCTGTATCATTTTGGGGAAACTTCACCGTCAGACTTGTTTTAAAAGGGACCTCACCGACCAGGAGCCCTCCACGATTGTCCCTCTGAACTTTCTACGTGCCCCGTTTCCATGCCGTTACGATCCCAATTCCTCGCCTCCACGGCACGCGCCGCCGCGCTGTGTTCTTTGAACTTGACGTAGCCACGGCGGGGACCGGAAGGTAGGACATAAATCTCCTCAGTAGATCCAAAGGCATTGAGGCATGTATCCATTAGATCTTCCTCGGGCAATGGATCAGAGAAAATCTCTGTATCTGTTGGAGCTGGCTCTACGTCTGGTCGATTGGTCATCTTCAATTCATCGATGTGGATGATGTGAATCCTTGGAGGTCAACAGGTCCAGCGTCTGGCAACTTGAAGTGCATAGGCGACAAGAAACATCTTCCAATACTACAGCATGAAAAAGGAATAGAGTAAGTGGCGGCTTATAAAGGTCTAAAGGAAAATGAAAAGAATTAAAGAAACACTTGCTATATGCATAGATTGATTTAAAAACAATACACACACACACATATATATATATACACAAAATCATTTAAAGAAAATATGTTCACCAGAACTGGCTCAGCTCTCTCGAGTCACTTGGCTTTCTTGCCGCGGCTCCGTGACCTCCGGCGGCTGCGGCTGCGCGAGCGCCGGCGTCGCTCACCTCGGTCCTTCTCATCGCGGCGTTTTCCTTGGAAGCCAGGCAAGGAGATCTCAACAAGCACAAAATGGCCTCCAACCTAATAGCCTTCTTGTTACTATAGCTTCTTGCTCCTAGTAGCGATGCCAGGAGCCCCCTAGTAGCGTCCTTGCTCCTAGTAGTAAGGCCAGGAGCCCCTAGTAGCTTCTTGCTCCTAATGGCAATGGCCTCCAACCTAATATGAACAACTTGAAGTTGAAAACATGTTTAAGTCAAGCTCTAAGAACAATGTTGGGCCCCCCTTTGAGGAGACCCTTACGTGCCTTCTTACATCCCCTTACATGTCTTCTTATCCTCTCTCGGAATGAAAGTTTGTCCTGAACGGGTATGACCACGTTGGAACTCAATCAAGTAACAAGTAACTATTCTTCGGTGGATTCTTTGCTGAACATGCCTCCGCCATCACCCGTATCACAAGAAAAAGAATCACTACCCTTTACTACATTGGTATTCAATTAGGACTACTCAGGTACATAAATCAGCCACTTATTTTCAGAACCTAGCGTCTCTCTCGTTCTAGCCGCGCCTTTTTCTCATCGCTGTCATCTTCACCGTGTGAAAACTTGCAGCGATCACCACGGGTACAGCGATCCATTCGGTAGTCCTGGCACATCTCTATTCCATCTACTCTGCGATCTGGGTACTCTTTGTTCTTCATCTCTGCGTCTAGGTTCTCATCAATTTCATGAGATTTGCCATCCTCATCTTCCTTAGAGCGCCAAACAGTCCTTCCCACACTGCAGCTTATCTAAATGGCTACCCGCCAAAGGCTTGCTCAGGGCTTTGGAGGTTCAATGTGTTGAGTCCAGCGGAGTTGGCATCTCTAAACACACTAGTAGGACGTAGTAGGTCAGGTGACGGTCAGTGTGTCTGCCCGACACCAGAAATACACTGAGATACCCTGAAAATGACCAGAGTCCCCCCGGGGTCATGTCAACTTTTGGCACAAGCGTTTGAGCACCATGCTAAGTCAATGATGCGCTCAAGCGCCAGCACAGCTCAAGCGGGCAGCATGCCCTTGAGGCATGTCGAGCACAGAGTGGGTGCCCGAGCTGAATAACATGCCAGTTGAATTCAATTGAACTCTGACAACTAGCAAGATGACTAACCGAACCAATCTCTGATTTCACCGTTCAAACTAAGAAGTAGTCATTCTGCATCTAAACCACCAGCACAAGAGATCAACTACAGATCAACAAGAAGAAAAGCCATCGTCCAAGCATCCAAGGTGATATGCAAAGGCTTCCCAGCGACCTTTTGTCCCTGCAGCTCCTCTGTGCAACATGGGCGACTCTGCAAAACGCAACTTATGACGGGCAAACTCAGCTGAATCGTTTTTTCCCATTCTTTTTGGAGCTATCAACATTCACGGAGAAAAAGGAAAGAATGTATGTTCTCGCCCCGTTTTTGCAATGGGAAACCGTTCAAAGCACCTTGGCCGCTTCTCTGGCCGTGGCAAAGTCGCGCATGCGAACACGGGCACCACCTGAGCTGCCACCTTCATCTTCACCTGGACCCGGCACCATCTCAATGCCTCAGCAGTTGCAAGAAGCTACTAGTAACAAAAGGGCATCGCTACTAGGAGCAAGGACGCTACTAGGGGCTCCTGGCTTTACTACTGGGAGCATTCTTGCCACTACTCTCTGAGTTCACCCTGGCTGACTCTCTCAGACAATCTCACCTGTCACTCTTGTCAGCCGGTCAGGGGCCAACTTTGTCACAAATCGCAATGAACATCAGACTTTTGGTCTCACAAGTTTGCAAGTGCTCAAAAACTCTAAGAACCATGCCGATGAGAGAACTGGGTTTGACTGTGCCATGAAGTAGCGCACCAATATCTGAAGCCTGCCACCGCTTCGGGAAGTCTTGCACGAGGATTGAGCCAGGCTTCCCGTCTGCAACGCTCTGCACTGGAGGGTCACTCAGTTCAATAGTGATCACGGGCTCCAGGGCTTCTATAGCGGCTTTGGCTGCGGCCTCATCCTCGAAAACTCCCATTGCTTTTCGGTGGCCATCAATCAAAACTGGCGCAAGTGTAAGGTCTCCAAACACCTCGAGTTCCTCCGTGATTTGGATTGTGAGCTCCTCGGTCGTCTTGGACTCCCAATCGGAGGGGAAATCGGTCAAAGACACGTACTGGCCAGGAACTAGGGGCAGCGCTGCAGCACCCCGGCGCTTGGGGCAATCCTTCATCAAGTGACCGGCAATGCCGCACACATGACAAGCACGTGACTCTTGACCTTCCACTATTCGCCCCTCTGGATGTGAATACAGGCAATCAGGACGCTTACATGCAACGCCTTGGCGACATAGACCTTTCGAGGGATCATCATCTACCTCGCGGCCTTGTGGATGCACAAAGAAGCAACCTTGCCGTTTGCATTTTCGCCCAAAGCGGCAAATGGTACTGTTCGGATCCTCATCGATGCCCCGACCAGTGGGATGTGTGTCGGTGCACTGCGAATTTTTGCAGGCCCGGCCATACTTGCACTGGATTCCGCTGGTGCCTTCCCAAGGGAACTGTTTGCCTGTGGTATTCGCAGGTACAGCATCACCACCCTTAGGTCCAGAATTCGCAGGTGCGGGAGGTGCCGATGTGGGTGGGGGCACCACTGGCAATAGCCCCGGATGTGGCATGAGCAAAAGCTGCTGAGGTGCCATTCCACCGGGCGCTTTCCCTAGCATTGGAATCTGGGGTGGCACCATTCCAGGGAGGGGTGGCATGGGCGGTGGAGGAGGTAGAGGCCCCGCCGGCCCCTCACCTATGCCAGGCATCACCGCTTTGGCATATTCTGGGCGAATAGTCATGCTAACTCATGCTGAGAACCCATCTGCGGCAGGAAAACTCCAAAACCAAGACTGTGTGAAGCTTCGGATCTTCTCCAAATTCTTGGGATAAAACTAAAAGGAACGAAAGGTGGCTAAGAATCCAGAACCAAAAAAGTGGGGACTTTGCACTAGCTTCAGTGATGACAAAACACTGAAATCCGATGAAAAAGGGTTGACCTGCGAGCTCCTGCCTGAATCTCCGAGCGCTCCGAGCTCCCGCGCCTCCAGGAGCTCCTCTGAGCGTTTCAAAGCATTCTCAGGCCTCTGGAAGCTAGTCATTCAGCTGAGCCTCACAGCCACGGCCGTGGCACCTCTTCGTCGCGTGCTCTCTGGGAAGGGTTTCCAGTCTTGGGAGAAGAGTGTTCTAAGTCATTAGGCAGTCATAACCACAAAAAAACGGTTGGAGTTGCATTTGTAGCTTCTTTTTGGGGCGGGGATTGTGAGGGAATTTGGGCACCAACCTGACCTAGGCAAATCGCCTCTGAATGCCGCATGTTTTTCGACCAAATTTAGCTAGACACATGCACGAACAGGGAGGTGGGACTGTGGAAAGTGTCGTGCGCACTGCCAAACGAAGAATGATCTATGAGATGTTCGTTTGCTACTAGCAGCGTCCTTGCTACTACAAAAGAAGGTGTGTTCACTCCTGCCAACTGCGGATCTTCCAACCGCCCTCGCAAGCCCGCTTGGTTCAAAATCGCCGCGCTCCGCTGGCCTGGTCCTCAAAACTTGCAAGTAGAAATGCAGCCGTCCTGCAAACAGCGAGGCCGTCACCGGGCTTTTGATTCTGGCAGTTCCGGTTCCGCCCATCTGGACTCCGTGTTCGTTTCGGATTTCTTCAAACCTCCAATAGAACCGGCAGCAAAGCTGGACACAACGGCGGCCGTGTCTGGAGCCACACGCTACAGGAGCGGCTAGAACCTCTGCACTTGGCCAACGATTTCATCAAACATGTTCACAGCCGAAGGTGCGATCCAAAAGCGCACGCGTGTGGATTGAAAGCGGTGTTTGCACGCTCTTCAGTATATGCCTGCGCATGCACCATCATCATGGCTTGGTGGAAATTGCAATGGGAAGTCAACGAACTACGGCCAAAAAAAGTGTACCAGGTGAAGAATGAAGAAGTGTAATGCAATCCGTGCCTTGACCTTACCGAACTGTGCACGATAAAAAGCCAAACAGCAAAGTTCGCGATTTCGGTTCTTTAATCCTTGCGTTATCAACAGGTTGCCTACGCACCCTAAAAAATAGAATGGAGTACTCCACCCTGGTTGCCCACATCCTCAAGTCCAAGGATGTAACACGCAACAAGGTTCACACCCACCTGGCATCCACAGGTGGAGAGCCTCCCGTGAGGCGAATCACCGCCGGATCAGGGATACTCCAAGTCCGTTCACCTGGGCGGGCCCTGGGGGACAGAAACTCCCCTGTCCACTTTTGGCTCTTGAGCCAAAACGTGTCATGGGAGTTGTGATGGTGATGATGATGATGATGATGTATGTGCGCCCATGCCTGCCCTAAGCTCAACACAACTATGGAAAAGCGGCGAGCGCACCCTCTCTTCAAATGGTGACTGAGCGGATCTTCTTGATTTTTGAACGGGGTTCTATACCCCATGCCTCCAGTCCAACGCGGACATACGGAGGAAAAATGAACTTTGCTGAAACGTGTGGTCTTACGCAAACAAGTCATCCATCCATAGCACCGCACCCTTGCTCTCGATTTGGAGTTGCTGGTCAAATCTCTCACTTGTGCCTCCAACTCTTCGATGTAGAGGCCTTTCTTTGCGCAATCATTTTGGGTTTCTCTCAATTCCTTTCGCACTCTTGAAAGTACAGGTGTTCAGGCCACAAGGATGCCTGAACCTCTTTCCCAAAGGTCACTGTTGCTCGTGCCACATGGTCCCGCAGCCACTGGAAGACGCTCAAGGCTCCTACGCATGCGCGCACACATAGCTGCACTTCCCCATTGATGCTCGAACCAACTGCTTTGCCCAGCGTAGACAAAAGCATCAGCAAGCAAATCATCACGTGCTTTGACTTGCCGATCTTATTCATGCCCTGCTTCACCTTGTGGTTGTCCTCGATCTCCTTGTACTCAGTCTCTCCAACTCTATCACCAATCGAGTTTACCATCTTCAGCATGTAGAGCAATCCCACAAACCTCGTCCTTGCCAGGTCCTGCGTCCCAAAGATCTGCTCAGGTGATCTCTGATGGGATTGGTGCCACTCACAAAATCTTCTCCTTCTCCTTCTGCTGGATCCAAAAGAGTGCTGCATGAGGCATCCAACCATGTGATATCTGCACCCGGGAGCTCTTCGGTGGTGTCCTTTTTTACGTTCTGTTCCAGAGGTGTCTTACGATAAGCCTCTTGCAGACATCAACATCCATTGATATGCCCTCATACTCCTTGTAGTCACATCTGATATCACAACGCTCACTCAGCAGTTTGAACAGTAGTGGAATCACTCACCCATGCGGAATGGTCCTTCTCTTCCACCTTCCATTTCATCTTCTCCTGCATGCAGTCTCCTTTCCCACCATAAACACGTCGCCCACACGCACGGTGATATAGACCTCCATGTGCTTCATGAACAGTGTGGGCTGCATCACATCTTGGATGAATCCAATTTCTTTTGCTGTCTCGGCAAATAGGCTGAACCACTGTGAGGCCGCAGTTATCTGGCCTGGAAAACATCGCACCAATCTGTAGTAGATCTTGCCTTCCAGCTCTACAAATGCATTCTCTTCTTTGGGTTGTTCTGCCATCAAAAAAGCGTCCTTGATATCCAATGTCATGGCACAAAGCCTTTGCATACATTGAGTAGCAAATGAATGAGCAGCTTGGGTACCAGCATTGAGGTCGGTGTAAAAGGTCTGCTCGAGGTCAATGCTGCTCTTGAGCTGCCTTGCCACCAGTCTTGCTCGACTCGATGCTTCGAGATGATGTAGCCGTCTGTGCTCCTTACTTCTTCTTGACTTGCCTCCTCCGGGTTTCCACCTCCATCATCTGGAGGCGCCTCGTCACTGGTGATGGGGGTTCATCCTCTTCCTCATCGGCATAAAGCAGTTCTTCATTGAGCTCTTCTGCAATCGACTCACCGTCCATCTCGTCATCACCATGCGCCTCGATGGTTTGAATACCAGCATGCTGAGGTGGATACAGCCTCGCTATCTTGCTAGGCGGTGATGCAGGTGGTCTTTCAGCCTCTGCGTCTGCCTCCCTTTCTCTCACGACCCCTGATGGCAAACTTGTGTTTTTTTCTTTTCACCTTCTTCTTTAACCACTTCTTTCTCCCTTTTCTCATCGCTCTTCTTCGGCTCCTCATTGCCATCTGTCTCAACTGTTCTCCTTTGCCGTCGCGCAGGCGCCGCTGTAATGACGCCCGGTGTCAATCGGTGTCATAGGCTGCGCTCTTGATCCTGAGGCTGGTGTCACCACCCCAGCTGTAACTGTTTCAGTGACAGCTCTCATCTCCTCCTAAGTTGCGTCTGTCTCCGACATTGGCTGTCTGTACCTTTTTGGGTTTGGCCTCCATGTTTCATCATGATGCCCTGTGGGGAATAGCTCCACGGTAAGCCTTTTGCAATCACCATGTCCTCGAACGGTTCTAGCCTCAAAAGCTCCTTCCGGGGTCAAGATCAAATAGGCGTCGTTCCATTGCTTCTTTCCAACACAAATGCCTCTATGGAAAGTGTTGTTACCCTTGTATTGGACCAACTTCGGGAACATGACAGTCTCTCCAAACAATGCCCCCTATAGCCATGCCCTGTTGCCAAGTCATAGCTTGTGCGGCCAATCTTCTCAAGCACACGGAAGCGGTTGAGTAGAAATGAGGCGTACCGAAATGACCAAGGGTACATATGGAAATTGCCCCCGATCTGAATGAAGGCCTTACTTTGCTTACCTTGCTACATCTCCACAAAAGATCGTAGGCACTTAGCCAACTTGCGAATGGTCTAGACTCCTCGTTCAGCCTGTCCGTTGGACCCATGTGCCCACTTCCCGTCAACCTGATCTCGCAAGGCAAGCCCATGACAGCTCTGACCTGGTGAACTGGTCAAAGTATCTTTCTCTCTCTCTCTCTGAATCTCCCTGGCCGATTAAACAAAATCTAATGACCTCCTCTGTGACCGTCTTCAAGCTGGCTGTTCCCTGTGACGGGACTGGCGCCACGTATATCGCCTTTGTCTATGTCCCAAACTGGTCTGACATCTCTGTCACTTTGTCTGGGGGTCTCTCATCAAGCCTCCTGCCCTCACCAGTGTAAGCGAAAAACAAATCCAGCTGAATCACGTTCTTGCCCATATCGACCTTCTCCTCTCGAGACTCATGTTTGTCTTCTTTTGCCCTGCTCGCCACACATGCCTGGCACCAAGGGGCATAGGAGATATGCGTCACGAAGTGCGCCTCCTGCTCCTTCATGGATGGCAACTTAGGTTGGCCAAGTGTAATTGGTTTTCTTCGTTGTTCCTGGAAAAGCTTGTTGGCGATGGACAGTTTCAGTTTGTTCCCGATATTGATCTTGAATGCAAGCAATCCGTCCAGAAGCCTCCCCTTGCTCCAACTGTAGCGCAAATTTCGTTCCTTGCATGCCAATTGGAAGTCTTTCAGTGACATCTTGTCTGTGTAGGCCACCTCGTCAAGCTCAATCTCATCAGGCCTGTTGGCCACCATCATCTTCTCAATGCCTTGGGCCCCCGCATTGCGTTTCCAGTTCACCCTCATTCTCGTCTTCTGACCACTCCACTCAACTCTGGGTGCCTGTGTTTTCTTTTCAGGATATGGCCTGCTGGGGACTGCTGGTTTCAACTCCCAATAGTTTTCCATCTGTAAAGGGGCGAAGAAACTCAACGTCCTGAAAGCCCTTCCTGTCCCCAAACACATGGACGCACCTGATCCCGGGTCTAGGTTGTTGTCGACATTCTCGATCTGACGCCACATGCTGACGATCCTTCACCAAGGCCATCCTGGCTTT